CCTTCCTGAACCCTACAGACCAAAACACAGGTGTTTAAGGAAGATGGTGGGCAAGCTGATACCCTTTGGCTGGTCTCTGAAAGCAGAGATTGAAAAACCAAGTCTAAGGAAGAAAAGTGCCAGTGAACCTGGAAGTTTACACAGTAGCAATGAGGCGTCCCTGGAATTGTATTGAACTCTTCTTATACTTGGCTTCCTCAGTCATCTCTCTCTTTCTTTTTTCTTCTTTTTTTAATTTTTTTATTTAAAATTTTTTTACTGATTTTTCTTTTTTTAGGGAGAGGAAGGGAGAGGTAGATATGGAAACATTGATGAGAGACATTAATTGGCTGCCTCCTGTATGCCCCTACTGGGGAACTGATCCTGCAACCCCAGCATGTACCCTGACCTAGAATCGAACCAGCGACCTCTTGGTGCATGGGTCAACTCTCAACTGGGCAGGCCCACAGTCATCTCTTAACCTCCATGAGTCCAATTCAAAAACCTGGTGACTTGGCAGCAGGCTCCACATGCGTCCGGCCTCACTGTTCCCCCGGGCACCCTGTCCCGTCACCCAGAAGGAAAGAGCTGCCTGTGAGGAACTGAAGGGGGGATCCCGGTGAGAAGTGGACTCCCAGCTCTGGGCCAAGTAAGGTTTTTCAGTTTGTGGTGAACTGACGTTCTTCCAGGTGAAAGCAGTTGGGTGGCCTGTGCCGACCCTGGGAGTTTGTGCTCGGCTGTTGGCGATCCTTGGCCTGTTGATTTTGACTCCAGTTCTGAGTGTGCGTTGTGGCCAAGGCAGGAGGAACCTCCCGGCTTGCTGTCTTCACGGCTCTTGGGAGCAGTCGTCCCAGTCATTGTTCCTGCAGTTCCTCTCTTGTTACCATCCAAACCTAGTGCCTAAGAGAGAAGGTGGGATTTGGAAAGGAGTCGCCATTTCTGCTGCGGGGCTGTCTGAGGCTGCGCTGCTGTGATTCTGTTCTGGATGAGACGTGGGAGATGGTTGGACAAGCTGGGATATTGTGTAAGAACTGTGCATGTTCTCAATGTATACTTACAAACTTCTATTTTTTATAATTTGGGGGAAATTCTTGGAGGGAATAAATAGTAGACAGAGCCAGATGAAGAGTGTGATTTGTGAGGTCTTAGTGAAAGGTCATGAGGAAACCTTCATAATGAAACAATTTTATAAGCTTTGAACTTAATTTGTATTCAGAAGTCATAGCACTGAGTAAGGCTGTAAACAGACAGGCGAGGCTTAGCCCCTCTGTTGACTAGGTACCGCTGGGAACTGTCTCACACTTTATTTTGGAAATTTTCAAACCCAAAATTAGAGAGGAAAGTTTATATATTTTCTCTGTTCAATTCTTCATCCAGCTTTAACACCATTTTTTTCGATTCGGTTTCATCTATTTCACTTTTTTTAAAAAATATATTTTATTGATTTTTTACAGAGAGGAAGAGAGAGGGATAGAGAGTTAGAAACATCGATGAGAGAGAAACATCCATCAGCTGCCTCCTGCACGACCCCTACTGGGGATGTGCCCACAACCCAGGTACATGCCCTTGACCGGAATCGAACCTGGGACCCTTCAGTCCACAGGCCAACGCTCCATCCACTGAGCCAAACCGGTTAGGGCTCACTTTTTTTCCTTTACTTTTTCCTGCCTAGAGTATTTTTAAAAACTCATCCAAGACCTATATCATTTAAGCTGTAAATATGTCCTTACGCATCTCTGATAGACTTTTTAAAATTTTTGAAATGATTATAAGAAACACAGGATGCTGGGGGGAAAAAATTTCGGGGAGGTCATGTGTACCCTTCACCCAGTTCCCCCAGCGGTAGAATCTTATATAAACGCAATATCAAAACCAGGAAATCGACATTGGTACAACCCACAGAGTTTATTCAGATTTTACCTTTCCTCTCTGTGCGTGGTTCTATGCAGTTTGTCATGTGTAGATTCAGGCACCCACCCCCACAGTCAAGGTACACATGTCCATCACCACACGGCTCCCTCAGGCTCTCTCTTTAGAATCACATCCACCTCCTTCCCCACCCTATGCCTGGCAACCACTGCTCTGTTCTCCTCTATAATTTTATTTTTAAATGTTATGTAAATTGAATAATAAAGTTTGTAATCTTTTGAGGTTGGCTTTTTTATTTGTTTTTTTTTTAATTTATTTGTATTAATTTCAGAGAGGGAGGGAGAGAAGGAGAAACATCAGTGATGAGAGAGAATCATTGATAATCTGCCTCCTACATGCAGCCCCACTGGGGATCAGACCCGCAACCCGGGCATGTGCCCTCATCGGGAATTGATCTCTGACCTCCTGGTTCATAGGTTGATGCTCAACCACTGAGATGCCCAGACAGGCGAGGTTGGCTTTTTTTATTGCACAGGAGTGGGAGCCTTCCAGGTTGTGTATGTCAGTAGCTCCTTTTTGTTGCTGAGTAGTATTCCATGGTATGGATGTCCCACAGTCCGTTTAACCAGTCACACATTGAGGGTCATCGAGGCTGTTACAGTTTGGGGCTATCTACACTAATAAAAGACAAAGACGCTAATTGACCATACCTTCGTTATGTCCAAGCCACGCCCACCAGCCAGTCAGAGCAACTAAATGCAAATTAACCCAACCAAGATGGCGGCCGGCAGCCACGGAACTGGAGCAAGCAGGAGGCTTGGTTGCCCCTGCGATGGAGGAAGCAAAGCTTCCCACCTGCTCTGGCCAGCTGTGGCCTCCGCAAAAGGCAACAAAGTTTCAATTATAGAAGCTAAATAAATCCCAGATACCTGCTTCTAGCCAGCCTCCACTGGGAGCTTGGGTGGCTGGGAGCCGTGGCCATCCTGCAAACAGCCATCAGCCCCTCACCCAGGCTGGCCAGGCACCCCAGTGGGGACCCCCACCCTGAAGGGGCTGTGGCCAGCCTGCAACCAGCCATCAGCCCCTCACCCAGGCTGGCCACACCCTCATGGTGTAAGGGTCCCCACTAGGGGGCTTGGCCAGCCTGCAAACAGCCATCGGCCCCTCACCCAGGCTGGCCAGGCACCCCAGCAGGACCCCCACCCTGATCTGAGACACCCTTCAGGGCAAACCAGCCAGCCCCCACCCATGCACCAGACCTCTATCCTATATAATAATCCTATATAATAAAAGGGTAATATACAAATTGACCCTAACAGCAGAACGACTGAGAATGACTGGTCACTGTGACACACACTGACCACCAGGGGGCAGACGCTCAATGCAGGAGCTGCCCCCTGGTGGTCAGTGCGCTCCCACAGGGGAAGCTCTGCTCAGCCACAAGCCAGGCAGATGGCTGCCAGTACAGCGGTGGTGGTGGGAGCCTCTCCCGCCTCCTCAGCAGTGCTAAGGATGTCCGACTGCAGCTTAGGCCTGCTCCCGCAAGTGGACGTCCCGGGCTGCTAGAGGGATGTCTGACTGCCAGCTTAGGCCCAATCCCCCGGGGAGTGGGCCTAAGCCAGCAGGCGGTCATTCCCCGAGGAGTCCCAGACTGCAAGAGGGCACAGGCCGGGCTGAGGGACTTTCCCGAGTGCACAAATTTTTGTGCACCGGGCCTCTAGTTATATATAAACACTAACACTAATTGAGAACTGTTGCCAGTCACGGTTCTCAGTGTCTTACACTTACTGACTGATTTATTCCTCACAGTTACCTCAAAAATAGATGTTCTTACTGTCCTCATTGTAGCTGAAGCCACGGAGGCCCCAGGAGGTCAGTGACTGACCTCAGTTTGCTCTGCTGCTGTGTAGCAGCTGCAGTCCACCCCCCAGGCATCCTGCTCTGCAGCCATGCTGCCCACCTTCCACACTGTTGCCTCGTGGCCGTGTGCGCTGCTATTCCTCTGGAGCATTGAGCACTCCATCCAGGTGACCCCACCGCACACCCACACCCTCCTTGGCCTGTGGGTGCGAGGAGAAGGGAACTAGATGGAAATGGAACCACTTAGGAAGCATGATGGGGAAGCTGATAATCGCTGCTCTTACTCATTCCTTGATTAGGTAGATAGAGGACCAACATTTTTATGAAGACTTTTGATCAGTTGATGAATAATAGATCTGTAACCAATTATTAAAGAGACTGGGATTTCCCTGTGCATAGAGTGAGGACCTTGTCAAGGGAAATGCCAGTGGTGTCTATCACCCTGGGACCCCTGGCAGAGTTGGGCTGGAACAACTTTTGATCTGATCTGAGGTATTTCTACTGGAACCCACTCATATAGGTGGGTTCCTATATGAGTTAGGCCAGTGGTCGGCAAACGGCGGCTCGCGAGCCACATGCGGCTCTTTGGCCCCTTGAGTGTGGCTCTTCCACAAAATACCACGTGCGGGCGTGCACGAACAGTGCGAAGTTGACTTAAAACTTCAAGTAAAGTTTATTAAGTTAATTTTAGGGAACATTGTGGAGTGAAAGAAGATGTAGTGTCGAGGACTTAGAAAGGTATGTTGAGATGGTTTGGACATATAGAGAGGATGAACGAAAGGAGATAGGTGAAACAAGTATACAAGACGAGTGTGGATGGGAGAGTTGGAAGGGGTCGATTTCAGCGAACATACCTCAATCAGATTGAGGATGTTTTTAGCAAAGGCCAGTTTAGGAGTACCCTAATTAAGTTAATAACAATGTACCT